GGGCCATATCCAAAAACAAACAAACAAAAAATCTGCTAAAGAGTTAAATGCATCCAAATTCCTTAAGAAATGTCTTGTCATAGGCATTTCTAGATGATGCACACCAAAATACACGTAGATCAGAAAAAGGATGGCAATCATGTTTTTGCATAAATGGAAATTACCATTTGATTTGAGGGAACTGAATTATTCAGAGGAAAAATTAATTTCTATTCTTCCCTGTACAATTCAAAAGAACTTTAATTTCGCTTTTTATAGTGCTAACTTGTCCGATTATCACAAAATTTGGTACACAGACTAATGTACACATTCTAGGTATCCACCAAATTTCATAATGACCAGCTATTAAAAATTCAAAGGTTTAGGCACTTTAGCCTCTAAACATTAGCTTCTAGACTGTTGCTCTTCAAGAACACTCTAAGAACACAATAGGCAATTCTGAAAGAAGAAAGAAAAGGCCTCTGGAAGATGTGACGTCATATAATATCTGATTCTGAACTTCAAAAATCAGTCTGTGTTAAAATTCTGCCTTGTACTGTAGTGTCACATACCTTGTCCTCCCCCTGTCCTTCAGTGTTATATGCGATAAGATGCTCTCTAGCATCAAACGGCATGGTCTTGAAATCTCCCGCAACTCCTGCACCTCCACAAAGACAGAAGAGCAGCAGAAGCGGCACCACTGCAAACACAGTCAACATCAGTCCTCAGTGTTCTCTGAGCACTGCATCTGTAAACATCTTCCACAACCACACACAATCCATTCATATAGAGCCATGCAACAACAGCAGTCAACAGCTAACAAAAAATTCAAATATACTAACATGTTTTACTTGTAATATGTAAACTGTATGCATATGTATACTTAGATTGAGATTTCATAATCCAGGATCTTTACATGGAGGACCAGATGTAATCAGTATTTTGAGCTTATTACTCAAAGCAATATCTGCTTAATGAAGATTATACTATATATATATTTCTCTGGGCAAAATATATTTTAAATATATGTTGTAAACAATGAAGTTAAATTATTTTATTTTTTTTAAATGGAAAAAATATTTAGTTTCAACCTTCATATACCAGAATACATTTCAAAATGCATTTCAAGGGCAAGAAAATACATTTTTAATCTTACAGCAGAATACATTTTGGCGAAAATGCAAATTTGGATAAAATAGCCTACTACAGATCAAAACTAGATTTATAATGGTTCATTACTGTTAATACATTTTTTAAATAAAATTCTTCAAATGTGTTATTGTCAGGGATACTCCAGCCTCATCAGACCCAATCACTCTACTTCGAGATGCAGCCTCAGGCCTTCACCAACGATCGCTCCAAGATCGCGTTTATGATCTCCCATCTAGGAGGAAACGCTCTTCAGTGGGCACAATCCATTTGGAATTCCAACAGCCCCGCTATTCACACTCTAGCAGCCTTTACATCACATTTCAAAGAGGTGTTCTGTCACTCCGCCACGGAGATCTCCGTCCATGATAAGCTCTTCCGCATCAGCCAGGGCAAGGCATCTGTGAGTGAGTACGCTGTCAAATTCGTCAAGGGCTCAACACAGACATTCGATTACATATGGTGATTTATGATGACACGGTTGGCCTGGAAAGCTTCATTCAGAAAGTCATCAAGATCTCTCAGCATTTATATGCCTGCAAGGATGTCCTGCCACTCTCTTCACTGATCTCAACCGCCTCACCACCTCCAGCACCAGAACCTATGCAAGTTGACTCATATCATCTCACCCGTGTGGAGCTCAACCGGAGGATGACTTCCAGACTCTGTCTGTACTGTGGAACTAACGGACACTTGATTAATTCCTACCAGGTCCGACCAGCATGCCCAGCGGTGAGTACCAACCAGCTCAGTCCTCAAATAGCAACCCTGACTCGCATGAGTGTATCATTAATTTAATCTCACCAATCGCTTTCAGCGCATGCTCTCATAGACTCTGGCTCCTCTGCAAACTTCATCTCGCTGGCCACACTACAACGGCTACGGCTCAAACCTCAGAAAAATGCTTAAGTCTTGAATATCCTCACCATCCAGGGAAAACCACTGGGCCGTGGCAAGATTCGTTTATGCTCTCCCAACATTACGCTTCGCATTGGGTGCCGTCATGAGGAGCTCCTCTCCTTTCTGGTGCTGGAGGATTCCACCATGGAGGTCATTCTGGGACGCCCGTGGCTGGCCCTTCATTCTCCCATCATTAACTGTAATAATAACGAAGTTCTCCACTGGAGTGAGTACTGTCTTCAGAACGGCCTGACCAAAATTTCTTCACCACAATCTCATCTCCTTCCAGTCTTTGCCACCAATATTGAGAGTACTGAACCGAAGGAGGTTCCTACCATCCCTCCAGAATACCGGGTGTACCAGGATGTATTCAGTAAGCGGGCCACCACGGAACTACCACCTCACCGGCCATGGGACTATGCCATCGATCTGCTGCCTGGAGCTCAACTCCCCAAGGGTAGAGTTTACCCATTGTCCATCCCGGAGCAAAGAGCTATGGAGGAGTACATTGAGGAGGCTCTCCAACAAGGCTTCATCCGTCCCTCGACCTCACCGGCTGCGTCCAGCTTCTTCTTTGTGGGCAAAAAGGACAGGGGCTTGCGGCCTTGTATCGATTACTGTTCCCTCAATTCTCAAACAGTCAAATACCCGTATCCCCTTCCACTGGTGCCGGCTGCCCTGGAGGAACTACGTGGAGCTCGCAAGCTGGACTTGCCTTCATCACTCCCACCGGACACTATGAATACCTCGTTATGCCGTATGGATTATCCAACTCACCTTCTGTCTTCCAAGGGTTTATGAACGAGCTGATACCGCTTCCCATACCACACCGGCCCTGGTCCCACATCGGAGTCGACTTTGTCACCGACCTCCCTGAATCGGAATCTTACACCTGTATCCTTGTTGTCGTCGACAGATTCTCTAAGGCGTGCAAACTTCTCCCTCTCAGAGGATTACCCACCTCCATGGAGACCGCGAAACAGCTATTCCACCATGTGTTTCGCAACTTCGGTATTTCTGAAGATATCGTCTCCAATTGTGGGCCCCAATTCATCTCCTGGGTCTGGGGGGCCTTCTTCCAACTCGTAGGAGTCTCCATAAGCCTGACCTCCGGATACCTCCCGCAATCTAATGGCCAGACTGAGCGAAAGATCCAGGAGATCGGGAGATATCTTCGCAGCTACTGCCATAACAACCAGAACTGCTGGAGCCATTACCTTCCCTGGGCCGAGTATGCACAAAACTCCCTCCGGCAGAACACTACCGGCCTCACACCCTTCCAGTGTGTACTCGGCTCTCAACCTCCCTTTTTCCCATGGACCAGAGAGCCATCTGAGGTTCCAGCGGTCGATCACTGGTTCAGAGAGAGCGAGAGGGTATGTGACTCGGTGCATGTCCATCTCCAGCAGGCAGTTCGGAGACACCAGATCCAAGCGTACGTTCGTCGCCTACCTACTCCGCAATACCAACCTGGAAATAAGGTTTGGCTGTCCACACGGGACATCCGTCTCCGACTGCCTTGCCGCAAGCTGAGTCCCCGCTATATTGGCCCGTTCACCATCAGGAGGCAGATCAACAATGTCACCTACAGGCTTGATCTTCCATCTCTCTACCGTATAGCACCTACCTTCCACGTATCCCTGCTCAAGCCATGCACTAATCCTGTCTCCTTCTCCCTCAGGGTCTGACGAAACGGACGTACCTCCTCCTCCCGAGATCGATGAGGAGGAAACCATCTACTGAGTCAACACCATACTGGACTCCCGGCATCAAGGCGGTCGCCTAGAATATCTCATCGACTGGGAGGGATTCGGCCCCAAGGAAAGGTCATGGGTGCCTAGTGACGATATCCTGGACTCGTCATTCCTAATTCATTTCCATACCCTCCATCCCGATTGTCCTGCACCCAGGGGCCGCAGCCGTCCTCGACATCAGCAGCGGGTGTCGGGAGCTGCCCGTGGAGGAGGGGTACTGTCAGGGATACTCCAGCCTCGTCAGACCCAATCACACCTAATCAAGACTAGCTCTAATACACCATCACTTCAGTTGCACTTTGTCTGGTCTTGAGTTCACTACACTACTCCTTACCAGTCTCACCTACCTGGATAGTTACCTGTACTCGCCTGTCTGCAGTCAGCATCAACTGTCCTCCTTCTTTTCCTGGAAAGAGATCCAAAGAACTGTTATCCACCTGAGCTAAGTCCAGTTTCTCACATTGACTTTGATTGACTCACCTGTTGATTTCACATCACCTCACTCTGCACCAAGCTGTTAATAAAGAAATTTAACTTACCTGTCTGTCTCATCGAGGTCTTCTTCTGTGTTGTGACAGTTTTATGCTCACACATGTTATAGACAACAAATAGTTTTTTTCTTCAAATGTGAAATGTATTTTCTTAGATTGGAAATATATGGAGAGCAAAATACATTTGAAATGCTTTTAAAGAATATATTTTTAAAATATATTTTCAAAAATATACAAAATGTCCAAAAATATATTGGTAGAAAATACATTAATGTAAATACCTTTCTTTTTTTTTTTTTTACAATTTTTTGAAAATGTATTTTAAAATCTATTTATACAGTCTTCATAACTCTCTCTCTCTCTCTCTGTCTCTGTCTATATATATTTAGTTACCATATGGGTAAATCAGCAAAAAATAAATAAATAATAATAATACTCAATAATAAAGTAATTGATAATAAACATAACAGAAAATTAATTTCCTTAACGATTAGTTGAGAAAATTAGCCAGTAACACTACTTTAAAGCATTTGAAAATGCATTTTTAAGAACACCCATTTTACTTTTTAATGCAAGCATTTCTATTTTGACAAACAGCACATACTGACAGAAAGAGAGCTTCAGTGTTTGCACTCACACAGAAGCAGCAGCAGTCCCAGCAGCATTAGAAGAACACCAGATGCTCCAAACGTGGAGACGTTCTTTTGGGGCAGGCAAACTTTAGCTGCAAGTCTTTTACTTGAATGGCAATGGTTCCTGTTGCAGTTTTAGCCGGGGCATCTGTAAAAGAAATTGCAGCACATTAAACTATACATTTTGAAACTCTTTTGCTTTTTTTATAAGTGCTTTTAATAATATCTGTTGCCAATTCTAACTGTTTTACATACAAATCATCAATGCTGGGTAGATTAAGTCTGTTACTGATTACAAATTACATGATGAAAACTGTAGTAAATAACATAATCTGGATTACACATATGTAGTATGTAATCAGATTCCAAAATCCAGATTATATGTACTCCATTACTACCCAGCACTGCATATCATAAAATGTAGCCTATCACCACAGGCTCACTTACCATTAGTGATGCAGATTATCTGAGAGTAATATGTGCCATTGATCAGAAACTTGGACTCATAATCTGGTATTTTATTGAGTCTTATATCAGCCGTCCTCTCATCTATAATCAGCCAGTTGTCAACATCTCGTCCTTTTGCATACCTAAAATTAAATCAATTAATAGTTGTATTTCAACATCTGAACAAAACCACATCCTTGAGTATGTTTGTAGAATTTCTGTAGTCTCACCTCACGTTATTAGCAATTAGTAGCGTGTCGCTGTCTATTGCTGCGTAATTGGTAATGACTTTATGTAAAATAGTGCTATTTTGCGCTTGAAATGCCTGCAATTATTGTTGCTAGGGGGCAGGAAATCACCCACAGAAATTTACACGCCCATGAATTTTGTTGATGAACATGAATATGTATGTCTATTGACAAACCACTGCAGAATGAAAAACTGATCACTTTTATCATCTGAAAGTGAAAGTTTATGCAACAATTTATTTAGTTTGAAAACTTTAATATTGATGATGTTGTAGCGTCTGGACCAATCAGACGCACCATTTTTCATTTGATTTAACAAATCAATTATTCATTAGATTAACAAACGTTCACAGACCCCTCACCCAATAAACATACTGGGTGCCAAGTTGTCTGTGAACAGGGCCCAGGACTTTAAGTGTTTATGTAGTATGTTAGACTAGTTTAAGTGTTTATGTAGTTAATAAAGTCTTACTTTTATCACACTTGACGTTGTTCATTGTTTGCTCATAACTGGAGTCCCTAATCATGCAGATTTATGCTACAAGCTCTGTGTAGAGTTGTACAGTATGAAAGTTATTTCCCTTAACCAGGAAATTAACGTTCTTAGAATTGACACACAGTTGACCCTGAGAGGTCAAGTAAATATCTACAGCGGATCTAAATATTTATAATTAATTATAACTAGTTATGATTAATTATTTATATTTCCCCATGAGCTGATTCGCTACAATGTTTTGACGTTGTTTTGTTAGAAATAAATATATAGGATTCTTGGACTGTTTTTGAGCAATCGTGAGTTATAAATTCAAAATAATTTAATTAAAATCCATTCATTCCAATGGGGTTAATACTGGTAATTTTCAGATTATATGTTCCTATAAATTTTATACAATGATTTATTCAAATATCTATCTATCTATCGATCGATCGATCGATATTCAATATCTATCTATCACCTATCTATTAATTTTTTATTTATATATTTTGGTTTGGTTTATGTGCAACATTTAAAACTTTTCATTTTTTTCACATTCACTCATTAATGAGAAGTTGCTGATCAGATACAATATGGTTTTCAAAACATATTGAGATACAATGCAGAACATATTATTACTTTGAAGTCAAGTCTGTGGCAAAATGAACCATAAACATAGAAGAAATCAATGTTTAGAATGTCAGGAAATGGCACATTTTCAATCTTTAATCAAGAATAAATTTGATAAAAAAAAAAAAAGTCTGAAATTAACTACAAAACAAAATTAGAAATTATTCTGTCTATTGAGTGGTTGAAGCTAAATTAATTTTTTGTTGCTGTGGAACAGTTTTAAAATGTGGGTACAACAGAGATTGAAAATGTCAGTGAAAACTTGCACTAATTGCTGCCAGTATATTTGACTTCTGTGAGAATGATGCTGTTTCCTTCAAAACAACAACAACAAAACAGAGAAAATATTAAGTGTAGCCTCAGGGTGGCGTTTGCTTGGATAAACACTCGTACAGATCTTTCAGTGCCTGGTACACAGCTGTGATAAGGACGGCTGTGAATTCCAGAGCAGCCAGCACAGAAGCATTAGATATCCCAGATCAGGAGAGCAAAAAACCACACGACAGAATGAGCAAGTTCACCCTGTCCACAATATGCATGGAGAACCGCAGATTTCTTTTTTGTTGGAACAAGACCAGCGTCCTCAGTTGCACAGATTGTTGTCCAGTGATTGAACATTTGCCAGTGGAGTATTTGGCCCATAAGCATATTTCAAGTCTTGCACAAGCACAAGTAACTGCCACTGAGGAAAAGGCAGTGCTAACAGAGCTAACAATGCAGGTATTATCTAATGTTAGAAAACAGTTGATTTTCAACAGCATCCCTGACCATTTCAGTCTGCTATTAACAATCTTATTTGCATCTTATTTGTAAATGGGTTCAGGTGTGCGTGGGAGACAATACATCAGATATTAAATCGAAAGATATGTACAGCACAGTAGTCTCCTCTACAAACATCCAATAATAAAATTCAAAAATTCTCTTTACATCCAATAATAAAGCTGTTACTCTTTTATCTTGAACTGATTCAAGCTGAATAAAGAACACCATTGTTGCCTTTCACAGAGCTGCTTAGAGCTGAACTGAACTTGTTTCAATTTGATGAACTCCACACTGTTTCTGATCTGAACTGAACCAACACTGAGCTGAATTTAGATAAATATTGACACTGTTTTCTTTTAGATCTGCTTTACAGAATGGTCTCCATAGTTGAGTTTCCATATTTGATTCTGCTATTTTCCTGTGTTTCTCTGTGAAGCTGCTTTGGCACAATCTGTACTGCATAAATCTCTATGAAAATAAAGATGACTTGACAGCACATCTCAGTGCAGATTGTTTGTTTAATCTGTCAGAATGTAATGCAGGTTTTGCAGAGACGCTGTTGAAGGACAGTGCAGTTAAAACTATATGCATCTTGACAGCTGGTGTGCAAAGAAAAACAAAGCACTGTTTGATGTTGTGCATGACATGTATCCCACCAGTTTCTCGATTAATGTAGAACATGTTCTCGGGATGCTGTTTAACAATGCTGTAGGCGATTTTTGTATGCAGAGTTCCTTCTTGATCTGCGTCTGTTGCGGTGACCATCGTTACAAACTCAGCTGAAAAATGACATGCGGTAGACTTAATACAAATAAACTTCATGAAACGTTTAACTGTATTCAATAGTGTTCAAACAACCTGTAGAGCTGATTTTGTCTATATATTGGGAAATGTATTTACTTGCCTCTACCTACATTTTTGCAAAACTTCAAAAACACACCTACACAATTCACATCACATAACAGTATGTGCTTTTTCTGTCTGTATTAATCTCGCTCGTCTTGTTCACCTGGAACAGCATTGCACTTGTGATGTGAAGCGTTTGGGTACGAGTCACGATAAAAAAACTCAACGGCTTGTCAACGCAAGCTAAAATGGCAAGTTTGCTTTAGCAAAACTGTTTTTATCTCGTTGCTTTTTCACTATAGGTTTAGTGTGTTGTTTTTAGACGCGATAGAGCGCCACTCACTCACCCAAACTTTCATTTTCCAAACTGCCACAATACATAGCTTAATTATTGCTACATAAGGTAAAAAAGTGGCGATATGGTTAGAAAGCATGAAGCTCGCAGTGTGAGAATGCCAGTCTGTCCGTCACAACACACAGCAATGCGTTATGGCAAGGATGTCTCAGATAGTCTGAGAAATAACCAGCTTCGTTTCCCGACACGATTGTGAAGACGGCCAGCCAGTTTTCAGTGTAGATCAGATCCGCGTCGATCGCTTGAATCCTCACCACTTCCACATTTCTAGTGTTTTCTTCCACACGGCACTCATACTAAAAACCATAGTGATTTCACATATATTAACCAGATGCACTTTCATGAACAGCTAATTTAACTGACTATTTTCTGATATGTGACCCTGGACCACAAAACCAGTCTTAAGGGTAAATTTTTCTAAAATTGAGATGTATACATCATCTGAAAGCTGAATAAATAAGCTTGCCATTGATGTATGGTTTGTTAGGATAGGACAATATTTGACTGAGATATAATTATTTGAAAATCTGGAATCTGAGGGTGCAAAAAAATCTAAATATTGAGAAAATCATCTTTAAAGTTGTCCAGATGAAGTTCTTAGCGATGCATATTACTAATCAAAAATGAAGTTTTGATATATTTACGGTAGGAGATTTACAAAATATCTTCATGGAACATGATCTTTACTTAATATCCTAATGATTTTTGGCATAAAAGAAAAATCGATAATTTTGACCCATACAATGTATTGTTGGCTATTGCTACAAATAAACCCCAGCGACTTAAGACTGCTTTTGTGCTCCAGGGTCACATATGACAAAACATTCCCTATCAATTAAATGTGTAATTTCAAATAATAATGCATGTGTTTTACAAGTATGTGCATAAAAATATTCCCAACAACTCATAATAAACTAAAGATTGTGTAAAGTCATTTGGTACAAGCTGGTGTGGTAATACTCAAAAAAATAAAATCTTACAAAGTTTTTCTCCAAAGTAGGAATGTTGTCATTGACGTCATGAATCTTGATGACAGCAGTTCCTGTTCCTGTTTTTCCGTTCAGATCTCCATCCAGATCGGTCCCTTTAATAATCAATGTGTATGTTTCTTGTTTCTGTGATGAGAAAAGCACAAACATCAGTCACATGTGGAAGTCAACGTGCAATACAATTCGGATTGGTAACACTTGAGTTTTGGGGACAAGTTCTCACTATTAACTAGCATGCATACTAGCATATTGGCTGTTTATTAGTACTTATATAGCACATATTAATGCATTATTCTGCATGAATCCTATGCCATACCTAAACTTAACAACTACCTTGCTAACTATTAATAAGCAGCAGATTAGGGGTTTGTTGAAGTAAAAGTCGTAGTTAATAGTGAGAATTGCACCTTAAAATAAAGTGTGATCTTATAAACACTTAACCAGAAAAATGAAAACTTAACCATGCAAAATCAATTATGTTTCTGTAAAAACTTAATTTGCATTTCCTGATGGAAAAATAAATGCTTGCAGTGCAGCAATAAATGAATGAATGAATGAAGTCAAGTCTGTGGCAAAATGAACCATAAACATAGAAGAAATCAATGTTTAGAATGTCAGGAAATGGCACATTTTCAATCTTTAATCAAGAATAAATTTGATAAAAAAAAAAAAAGTCTGAAATTAACTACAAAACAAAATTAGAAATTATTCTGTCTATTGAGTGGTTGAAGCTAAATTAATTACTGTTTGCATACCTCTCTGTCGAGCGTGTTGTGCATGACGTGTATCCCACCAGTGTCTCGATTAATGTAGAACATGTTCTCGGGATGCTGTTTAACAATGCTGTAGGCGATTTTTGTATGCAGAGTTCCTTGCTGATCTGCATCTGTTGCTGTGATGGTCTTTGCAAACGTGTCTGAAAAATCAAGGACAACACAGTAGCAATGTGTGTGCCTCGATGATATCTTCATTTTTTTCCCAGAGCTGAGGCTGAACACATTCAACTTGTGAAAAGAGTGCAACAATGTCTCCTAGCAATTGATTTGTGTACCTAAAGTAAGTGACACATCTCTTCTGTTTCATTACTTGGTTATGTCATCTCATCAAACAGAGAATGGCCATGCATCAGTAAGATCAAGGCAGTGTCTAGACAGTTCTGAGCAAAATTGCGCAGGTGTTGCATTTAATGCAACTTTGTCTTATCTGAAATTCATCATTAAAACCAAGATTGAACCTTGTTTTTTTTCAGATTTCAGTTTTGTATCAAAGAACACAAAAAGCCTGAGAGTCTCATACCACAGTTCATGAACGTTCAATGCCAGTATTGCACTGGATTTTGTTATTTTTACAGCTGAGTGTTTTGTTTTTTTTGCATTTGTTATGAGTCATGGAAGTGACAGCAGAGACAAATGACATGTTCGTGCTGTAATCAGCCTCGGCTCTAGACTTTTTTGAGTGTTTGGGGAGGAGAAGAGGGACAGTGATATGAAATGGGTGCGACTGGCACAGTGAAGTGGCGGACAGACAGACTAGTGACATCAACTATTCAAATATTTAAAATATATAAATAATAGGTCTGTTGATTTAACGTTAATTTGGTGCGATTAATTATGGACAAAAATAATGAAAAAAAAAATTAAAGCATTGAAAGGCCACCAGTGGCTTTAGGAAAACAGCGAACGGTCAGCAATATGCCTTTCAAGTGGTAAATGTCAAGGAAAATGTCAAAGTCATTTATGTGTGCCAAACTTCCTGCTGCCAGCTGTTGGCGCTATGATTATAACTGAATATTGGCATGTAGATGTCTTCAGGCCAGAACTTTTATCAAACATATGACGTTTGGTGCAGATTGAACATGGTATGTTTGAGTTAGTGTAAAACATGACATATCCTGTTGCCAACAGGTGGCACTATGTTTATAACTGTATATTGGCCTTTAGATGCTTTCAGGCCAGGACTCTTACCAAACCAGCAGGTGGCGCTATGACTATAACTAAATATGGGCATGGGAATGTGTTCTGAACTGGACTCTTATCAAACAATTGAAGTTTGGGGCTGATCGGACATTGTATGCGTTATGAGTTATAACAACTTCCTATTTAATGGCGAAACATCAAAGTTTGTCAGGCCGCCACGGACACGCCCTTCAACAAAAACTCAAGATCTTTGCAATTTAACATCACATGGGCTTTAGATTACACTGATCAAATTTGTGACCCTGGACCGCAAAACCATTCTTAAGTCACTTGGGTACATTTGTAGCAATAGCCAAAAAAAACATTGTATGGGTCAAAATTATTGATTTTTCTTTTATGGCAAAAATCATTAGGATATTAAGTAAAGATCATGTTCCATGAAGATATTTTGTAAATTTCCTACCGTAAATATATCAAAACTTAATTTTTGATTAGTAATATGCATTGCTAAGAACTTCATCTGGACAACTTTAAAGGCGATTTTCTCAGTATTTTGATTTTTTTGCACCCTCAGATTTTCAAATAGTTGTATCTCGGATTGTCCTATCCTAACAAACCATACATGTACGGAAAGCTTATTTATTCAGCTTTCATGTGATATATAAATCTCAATTAAAAAAAAAATTACCCTTATGACTGGTTTTGAGGTCCAGGGTCACATTTTGTGTTGATCTGTTTAAATCTCTAGAAGGAGTTCATTTAAATACAACACCTGAAAATGGCAGAGAATACTTGCAGAGAAAATTCAAAATAATAGACTTCCTGTTGGGTTTCGGACTTCGTACCTGGGCAGTTTATTGTAGGTATTGGTGTCTACCGAATTTCGTACATGCATGTGAAACAGGCACTTCGTTGAAATTCTGAAACCCATATCAGATGTAAATTTTCCACTTCTGGCATGTGTGCAAAATTTCATGAGTTTTCGAGTTTTAGGCCCTCAAAAATGCAACCCATCCAAAGTGCACACACACAGCAGTGAAGACACACACACACACACTGAGACTCGAACCCACAACCTTTTGGGTTGGCTACTTTTTGTAATGTCTATTCAATGCTTTTCTAACACAATAATGACTTTAAATGATCTTTTAGGGGGAAATTTCTCAGTCAAAATTGATGTGATTAATTTGAGATGAATTAGATTAATTAATTAATTGGCACATCATGTAATTAATTAGATTAGATTTATTGTTTTGTTGTCTATACTCTCTAGTTTGTATGTCAGTTTTGTTTTAAAAATTAATATCATAACAAAAATAAACACCGGTATTCGGTATGAACCGGTATACCGCCCAGCACTAAAATCACCTGGCTTGAATATTATCAAATCACTGTGAATAGTTTTAGAGAGATATATGTATGTATGTACAGTATGTATGCATGGCCAATTAATGTGTTTGTGAGTACATGTGTGTGTGAAAGTGAGCAAATAAATAAATTAAATCCTTCAGCACAATGTAAGAACATGTACATAGGTTTGGCTACAGTAATGGTGGGATTTTGATTAATACTGTATTTACACTAGTAGGTGCAAACAATTTAACAATGCATGTGTTAGTTCTGTGTGAGTCACTGAATTGATTTGCTCACAAATGAAACCAGTTTTATTTTGCTTATATAAAATTTGTTTTTCAAGAAAGTTTTTGTTACCCCTTGAATTAGTCCTATACAATAATTACTCATGTAGAAATGTGGCCTCATCTGCATCTCACATGCTAATATAGAATTAACTAAGAACCCAATTTGTACTTTGCAATTGTTTTTTTTACTGAAGACATTAAGTAATCATTTACACTGGAGAAAGTGAGTGAAGCACTGTGTTAACAAATTCTCTAAAAGTTAACTAGAAACAAGTGACTGACTAAAGCAAATGAGAGTGGAAGTGCAGGTTTGACAGGTCCGCCACCGATTAAATCGAATTCAAAAATGCATTAAGACATTTTACTGGAACATGTCAGGAGAGCAGACCCAATGCACACAAGTAAATCAACTAAAGAATCACTTTACCAAAATATTACCAAGTCAGCGTCTAGATTTTAACCCGGTTGAAATGCTTTGCATGACCTGGAGAGAGCTGTGCAATCAAAACTATCCTGAAATATAGATGAACTGAAAAACATTTTGGGTAAAACTTTAGAATACCGTTCCATCATTACTGAATATCTACAAATGAACAAATCAGGAAGACCATAATAACATTCTAGTAACTACTATTAACTAACAAGAAACTAGTAATTATTAGTTATTTAGTAGTTAGTACACGGTTAAAAGCAGTAGTTAACTACAAATACTATACAGTTTAACAAACTAATAACTATAACAGGTTAAAATAAACTTTAACATTTTAACTACTACTTTAACATTTAACCACTTATTTAATCCAGCAATATCAGACTTATGATTTGGGTAAGCTTTACATTATCATTACTAAACATTTCTAATCATCATTCATCCCAAATTCTAAAGAAATTACTATACAAAAATATTACGTAAAAAGCTTATGGGAACTTCAGTCATTACTAGGGAGTGATCATGTATTGTCTTTGTAATATTGTTCCATGTAATTAGCAATTTCTTTTGAAGAATTTGGTAATACTTGAGTCATAGTGGTTAACATGATCATCACTTTAAAATGAATTATGCATTATTTACATTTCACATATCACATTCCATGCATAAGGAATAAGGATTTTGCTTATGTAAGAATTTGCTGGTGAAATTAGTCTAAAATGTGATAGACTTTTAATTGTGGGAGATTTCAAAGTGTGTGTTTATTGTCCATCTAACTCCGAACTAAATATTTTTGGGCATGATTGACTCTTTTAACCTCATACAACACATATGTAGACCTACTCATGATGATGGGCATACCTTGGACTTAATCAGCGCACAGGTGGAAGAAGGACAAATTACAGGTTTCATATTGCGTGAGTCTTTAAGATAGCTAAGATAATCTATTCGGCTGATTTATTCTTAAAGCGCAGCTGTAATTCTAATGTTTTGTTCACTATTAATTCAACTCTGTTACATGTCCTGATCTGCCTACAGAAAACTGATGATATCAGGTTGCATATTGTGCCTGTTCATACGACCCTTCGGCTACTTCTGCTGTGTTTGATCAATTCACACCAATTTCTCTTCAGCCTTTAGCTGAGGTAGTTGGCCAGCTGAAACCTACAAATTTTGGTTGCAATGTTGTCCCATCAAGATTAGTTAAGCAGACTTTTGATATTGTTGGTCCCAGTATACTGACTTTAATTAATATAAGTTTTAAAACAGCAGTAGTTCCAATAAGTTTTAAGCATGCTATTGTAAAAATTGGAAAAGGTTACTTTAAACCAATTGCAGACCAATTTTGGAAAATTTTCAGTCATGGTGTAAAGCAAATTATGGCACAGAAACGGCGTTGTTGAAAGTTTTAAATTATATTTTCATTGTGGTGCTCGGTGATTTTAGTTTTATTAGACCTCAGCGCAATGTTTGACACCATTGTTCATGATATTCTTGCCTAGAAAAGACCGTAAGAATTCAGGGCATGGCATTTAAATGGTTCAAGTCCTTCCTTTTTAATGGGACTTTCTTTATTTTGGTCAACATTACTCTAAAACGGCCCTATGGTCTAGTGGGGTTCCGCAAGGGTCCATTCTTGGCCCAATCTTGTTTTCATTATATATGCAACCTTATTTCTATAATTATATGCATGGAACATCTTTTCATTGTTACGAAGATGACATTCAGGTGTACCGACCTTTGCAGAAATGAGATAAGCACTGTATTGGTGTTTAGGTTACGGTGTTTACATGAAGTTAAATCTTGGATGTCACAAAATTTTCTGAATTTGAATGAAAGCAAAGCTAAATTAATATGCGCGTACGCACCGGATGCCGTGCGCGCTCAAGGAAGTTGGACATAGTGGTGTATTAGAGGTAAAAAATTATATAAATACTGTTCGGTTTCTGGCACAAACCGATCGTTTCGTGTCTTAGGACATCAATGTGTCGTCACGAGCCGCAGTGTTTAATTTGGATTTGTCTGTGCATGTTTTTTTTACTCTCATAGATTTTGTTACCATTGCCATGCATTATACGACTGACAGTCTGCAACGGCTGGAGTTAAAAATCTTCATTTGTGTTCTACTGAAGAAACAAAGTCAGCTACATCTTGGATGCCCTGGGGGTAAGCAGATAAACATCAAATTTTCATTTTTGGATGAACTATCCCTGTAACGCTACATCTAAGACTAGCTCCTTCTTTAGGCTCCTTTAAAAAACCACTTTTACTTGCATTGGTGCATGGTTCAACAGGTTAACTAGAAAGGGGCTCTTATTAATTTTATGTATTTGATGCTGTCAGTCATTGATTGATTGTTTTATGTTATGGTGTTATCATGTTATGGTATGGTATTATTATTTAAAATTCAATTCTTGTCAATTTATTGTGTAATTGTACAGCTCATTGATGAACTTCACATTGTTTTAATTGTGCTTTATAAAGAAACAAACAGAAACATTAATTATGAAACTTTCTAGTTTCTTAGAGGGTCTCCGGGATGAATTAAAAAATAGTAGTATTGGCTCATAGTAAATTACCACATTCAACTGAGTGCTAATACTTACTAATTCGTTAATCATCATTTCTTGTTAGTTAAGGAATGGTCCAAAACTCATACTCAGTATTGTGCAAGTCTTACACAATCAGTTACAGGAAACATTGGTGATATGTATTAGTATTTTTCTCACACACACCTAGTTTCACTTTAAAAGATCAGGGCTGTTTCTCAATTCTAACAATGTAAAGAACGGACTCACTTTCTCGTGGGGACTGGTCTTAACAGGCTACCTTGAACGAACGAACTCGGAAGGACACAAGGACACAGAACGCCTCTTTGTGAGAATTGAGATGCGCTGTGATCTTGCTCAACTGAAAGTGTGAGTATAGTAGCAGCCAATGTACAATAAATACAACATAACATCACAAACAAATGTCATAACCTATTATAACATATTAACATTTCATATAATTATGGATAAACATTACTTTCATATTATTCATATATTTCTATTTTACCCTATGTATCTGTAAAAATTTGTTTGTATATTTGTTACCCCTAGTAAAAAAGTAATATATTTAAAATACATTTATTTTATACTAAGTATAGTTCAAATCTATTAACATATTTACTGACAGATAACTTGAGACTTACTGATACAATAATTATAATTAAACTTTATTTGGCGTACTACTCGTGCACAATGCACTTTCTTAATATTAATTAATTTAATGTCACTTTTGATGAAGATTGCATGATCTTTGAATAATACCGGTCTTTAAATGCAAAATATTTCAAGTGTACCTGAACTATACTTTAGCACAATCAAATATACGAAGTAACCCTAACCCTATACTTTAACTGGTCTTCAGCACTACTTCTGCACAATTAAAGTGCATTAAGTACAAAATTAGTTTTTCTAAATTAGCAGACTTTAAGTATACCAGTTTAGTTTACTAAAAGTACAGTTGAAGGGTATTTTTATTAAGTACATAAATATGAAAATGTATTTGTAGTATACTTAGCATGAAATATTTTTTTTTTTCAAATATATTTAAGTATTTATTTTTCACTAGGGACCTATGCTTTGTCAATGTTAAAATTCATTTTTAATATGTCAGTAAAAATATTGCAGACTTTCTCCAGGTCTTTATCAATTTAATAAAATTATGCAATTTAAGGGTCAATTTTATGAAATTGTGTGATTTATACATAATCTGAAAGCTGAATAAATACACTTTCCATTGATGTATGGTTTGTTAGGATAGGACAATATTTGGCCAAGATACAACTATTTGAAAATCTGGAATCTGAGGGTGCAAAAAACATCTAAATATTGAGAAAATCACGTTTAAAGTTGTCCAAATTAAGTTCTTAGCAATGCATATTACTAATAAAAAATTAAGTTTTGATATATTTACAGTAGGAAATTTACAAAATATCTTCATGGAACATGATCTTTACTTAATATCCTAATGATTTTGGCATAAAAGAAAAATAGATCATTTTGACCCATACAATGTATTGTTGGCTATTGCTACAAATATACCCCAGCGACTTAAGACTGCTTTTGTGCTCCAGGGACACATATTTTCATTTCAACCCAGGCTCATTGGAAACACGTGCCTGTGGTGACGTTTCTGCAACAACTTACTGCATGTTTCGCAGCAGTTTCAAAGTGAAATGTCCAGTGAGTGGCCCTAAAACGCACGTTCAGTATGTGACCGTGGCAAGTTGATAGCACGTATTGCTGTGTTTTTATTACGTTGCTTCATATACAGTACAGTTCTGTGGCGGTTCAGAATTGAAATGTTCAGGGAGTGTCGCTAAAGGTTAATGCTTTATTGTGTTGGAAATATCCCCTACACCAAAGTTTTGCAGAAATATAGGTGGAGGCACATGTTTGCAATGAGTCTGGATAGGCTAATTTCACGATTGTCTCAGAAGTATGATGAATGAAGGCAGTACCTATTGCGCTCTGCTCATAAACAGCTCCGGTTGTCAGGTTAAACACAGGAGCATTATCGTTCTCATCCTCCACCACGATTCTCAAATCAATATCTTTCTCAGCATGACTGCCATTCAGAAACCTGGCAACCCCTCGGAGCTGGAACACAGAAAAAATCACCAGACATCTCATAAATTACATAAAAGTCATAACAGCCATTTACTGCTTTCAGTATAAATTCTTAAAGTCACAGCATAGATTTATATATTTTTATTATTCAGTCTGTATTTTATGACAGGCCTTCATATTTCCCCTCCCTTATCCTTCTCTCATAACCCTTCATTTTCTCCTCCACTGTATTCAAGGACAACAACGCAATAAAAAGTACATCAAACACACGCTCAATTAAACACAAATGGGAAATAACTAAGTATTCCTGATAGAGAGGAAAGGCCAGGCTGTGCTAGAAATATCATGAAACCCTGCCTTTTCAGTTAACTATGTCAGAACTCCTCTGTACGACTCAGGAGATGCTGTTTCTCTGCTCGGTCTAAGCATTTAAACTCTGATCAACAAGCACAAACTCTCTCTATGCATTCATATAAGCTTGCTACACTCAAAGTATGATAAGTCATTTGTTGTCTAATGATGGTCATGTTCATGCAAGCCTGATCTATGCAGGTGATATGCAAATCAACCGACATTTACCTCATGGCTTACGAAACATTCTGGCTAAAACAATTTAGAATTTCATCACTTGCTGAATAATGCAGTGTTTCCAAACCTTTTTTTCCTGCCGTTTTTTTTTTTTTTTCCATCAATAATTAAACTGCGTCATCAGAGGTTGGTGTTTTGGTTGGTGTTCAGACACTTGCACTTGATTTCTGAAAATCATACTCAAATGGAATGACGGAGATCTGTGTTTTGTCCATCATTAGAACGGCCGCATCTGAGGCAGCTAATTAATCGCATTACGTTTTCATCAGTTCGCAGGTTATGAAGTTTATTGTCGCTATATGGGTGCTCAGTTTCTCTTGTTGTTTAACACATTTGGCCAAAATCTCACGATATAAAAGACGAACCGCTATGCACAGGATATTTATAACGTACAAAAGTGTATTGGCTACAACTAAAGTTAGACAGCAAATGCTAAGACTCTTCAGAATGAGTCCAAACAGCTGATAAAACATCACAATAACCACTCCAGTCCATCAGTTACAGTCTTGTGAAGCGAAAAGCTGTGTGTTTGTAAGAAACAAATACATCAGTAAGATGTTTTTAAATCACTGCTTCTGGTTAAAATCCGAGGCCATATTCAATAATAACACTTTGAAAAGATCAATCTTAAGTAAGATCAAGCACCGTTTACAAGCAAAAACTGTCTAAAACAGCCCTAAACAAATATGTGGGAGAATTTTTAACTGATGGACTGGAGTGGATTATTGTGATGTTTTTATCAGCTGTTTGGACTCTCATTCTGACGGCACCCATTCACTGCCATTGAAGAGCAAGTGATGCTACATTTCTCCAAATCTGATGAAGAAACAAACTCATCTACATCCAGGATGGCCCATGTTTTCATTTTTGGGTGAACTATTCCTTTAACACATGCCATGTTTCTAAATTTCTAAATTAAATAAGATTCAAAATTTAGAGAAAATGTAATTTCAAAGTTATTAATGAATCATGATTTCTCTGTGAAAACAAACACATGCACACCAACTCAATGACTGCCTCTATTTAAGCATGTGCTATGGCTAAGAAAACACAAGTTACGGGTTTTTAGTACGAGCTGCACCTCATTTAGTAATCGAGTCATTCAGGCAGAATGTATGACATTCATCACTTCATGACAATCCCAAATCCAGCTCTCCTGTGAAAAGTTGCTGCTAGATGCTATCTCGAGTTCTTAGCGACTCATCAGTATACTTTTATAGGTTAGTCAGGGTAGGACGGACACCCATGCAATAAATGTTTATAATCGTGTGTAAAAGATGAAAGGGCTGCTCACATAATAAATGGGAGTTTTCTCTCTGTCTAACACTCCGTGGATCTTGACCAAGCCAGTCTCTCTATTAACAGTGAACAAGTTAAAGGGTGGCTGGTCAGCACCAGATCCAGTCAGTGAATATCGTATACTCGTCCTGGTCTCCTCATCTGAACGGATCTGCAGACAAATGCATTTAATACAGTTAAAAAATAGCATGTTAAACAATTTTTTAATTTGTTTTACCATGCAGTGTTACGTAACTAGAGTTTATTCATACTAGTCAATGATAATTCATTGCAGAACATTGGAAAAAGTGCTTAAAATTTTTTATTTTAATTTTTTCTCTATTTATTAATTTGCAGTTCAACTGTTCATCAAAACATCACTCACTAATGTTTGGAAAGGTACTGTTGCATGTAAAATATTATTAATAATAATAACAGCATTGAAAAAAAATACAAATAAAAAAAAGTGACTGCAGTAAAAAACACTGCAGAGAAAACAAAAAAAACAAAGATCTTACTTTGGCTATGTATTCCCGATACGTATAATCGAAATTTTCCCTCAGTTTGTGTGGTGGGATAATCCACTCTCTCTTCTGTCTGATTTTCTTCTGTTGTCCTTCAGACGCTGAAGTGTTCAGTATCTACACAAACACAAAAGCACATGTGTCCATTCCAACTAAATAATGTGATAAACTAAAACTGGAGAGCAGTAAAACAGGTTATATAACATTCATGCAATATGGCTAATTTACAGCTTGATTGCACGGTGCAAAATAAAAATATTCTGCACACAAAACAATTATTACCATGACTTTCCCCCATAAATCCAGTTTCAGGTTTCATCTCGCATGCTCTCGAATGATACTGTTGTGTACAAGTATACTTATTAAAAAATAAAAAACTTCTTTAATGGCTACATTGTTGCGATGGTGAAAATAAAGCCATGGCTGTGGGGAAAGCTGATTTCAAAGTACTACCAAGAATAACAAAAAGAATAATAGTGTTAATCAAGTTTGTGTTCGTTTTAATCAAAAATAATTCCCTGATAAATGCCTAAAGTTGAAGAATCACCAACATATGAAAATAATGACTTTTAAGGCCGCCAACCTTTTGTTTCGACTTCCTCTGTAATAATTCCCACCCTGACTCTCTTCCTCTGGCAATCTGCTAATGCAATAATTTTACCAATAATATCTATCCATATAAAAAAAAAAGAGTCAGTGTTAAGAGACATCTAGCCTGTATCTTCCCAGAGTTCATAAACCCCTGGCTGACTATCACACATCAGTGAGAGAATGAGCACCAGAAAAACACATCCACACTCAAGCCTAGCTGTGAAGATGAACAGAAAACAGCAGTTTACACTCGTAAAGCATACAGAATTATCATCGTTTATACACGCATTGATGAAGAAGTGTTCAGAGAGGGTTTAGAAAAAAATCATATGAAAGAAACGAAACTTTGAGGACGCAGACAAAAGATTTAAGATTATATACAAGTCGATATGAACAGTGGAAACATTTCAGTGTTTTCGCTTACCGCCAGAATCAGCGCTACGAACAGTATAATGCCGCAGATCTTCGCCATTCTCCGCCGCTTGCTGCTGCCGTTACTCGCGGAACTTTGACACGGACTGAAAGAATGCGGCGTAAGAGCGCAGAGGGGCGGGAGGCAGCTAGTCCACCATCACACCCTCAACACCGATAACGACACAAACATAGTGCATTACTGTAACATCGTGATTCAAAAGAATAGCCTACTATACATATAAAACATATCAAAAATGCATTGTATTCAATTAGATTTACTGCATTACCCAGCTAACAATGAACGTTCTCAGAACCAGTGTTGGGGAAAGTTACTTTTAAAAGTAATGCATTACAATATTGCTTGCAAAAAGTGTAATGAATAAACCTAAGTTTGAAGGAAAAGTAAACTCACGTCTGTACAGTAGAACGCAGGAGAAGAAACACTCTTCAGCAATAAAAAAACAAAGCACAATTGTTAGTTTCTCTAAAGTAATTTTTGCTTATTAGTATGGTTGAACTGGATCATCAAAGGTCAGCAGCAAAGACATTGGTTAATAAAATGGGATTAGATACATTTGTGTTATTTAACATATTTAATTATTGCAGGTTTGCGTCATATTCTGAGTTTTAATTCATTTTGATGAATACTAAATCTGTTTTTTTGTGAGTGGGATGAATTAATGCACATTCACATTTAGTCTAGAACTACAGTAACATCATGTTCACACAGCGCACACAACTCCTCTGTACTCCCGATTTCTCCCAATATGGGGACAGGAGAGCTGTCAGTCAATAAATGGGAAAACAAAGTAACTGGCGTTACTTTTTCGAGAAAGTAACTCAGATATTTTCTTGTAAATTAAAAAAGTAATGCGTTACTTTACTAGTTACTTGAAACAAGTAATCTGATTACGTAACTCGCATTACTTGTAATGAGTTACCCCCAACACTGCTCAGAACTAACTGGCTCTCAAAGTTACGAACAAACGTTTTTTTAATAGAACGTTGGCTTTAAGCTACTAATATTCTCAAAATGTTGGCACAAAAACATCGTTTATTAAACGTTTTAGTTGGATGTTCATCTACCGTTTTTTTTTAAATGCTGTTATTTGTTTCAGGAAACATCCAAAGTAACATTCCCATAATGTCTGCAAAATTATAAAATGGAATGTTCAGATATAGCTAACGTTCTCTTTTTTTTTTAATTAAAAGAATGGACGTTTGGAATGTTCATTCAGAAACACCGTTTTCATAGTTTTCGTGGGAGAGATAGCAAAACATTCTTTTGTTATTTAACATATTATAACATGTTATAGAACATATTTTTGTTAGCTCATCTGGGTATGCGGCATTGATTTTAAATAATTAGCCTGTAAAGATTTAGCAAATTGGACAAGTCTTTTCATTGTTTACAACCCGTGGTTTCATTTAGAGCTCTTCGTTGACATTCTTATGTCCTTGGTAGGCTAGGCTAATAAATCACTAGACAAAACAAATGACTAACTTTAGGCATTAGTGTGAAAAGCCGGGTTAAAGGAGAATTGGACAGTCTTTTTCCCCATTTCTGCCTAGATAACCTTCATTAATGTGGAAATCATTTGTCTGTTCTTCTCTACAGGTTCATCTCAGTGCTCTGATGAGTTTAAATCGTGAGTTCAGACTTTCTGATATGAAAACAGACCGTTCTAATAAAACAGGGGTTTTCAAACTTTGTAATGCCCAAAATGTATTATTTCCAAGGACGTCCTGCCTAAAACATACTATTCATGTCTGTTTAAATATTGTAAAGAAAATAGAATAACCGACTTTTTTGTCATCCCTTACCAAAAAGTAGCATACTTCAAGTTTATTTTATTAAGTATACTTAAGTAAAGTTCAAGTATATTTTTAAGTATACTTTATGCAGTAAGTACACAAATATCAGTGTACTAGTAGTATACTTGTAAGTGTACTATTTACATACTCCTTGGGACTAAATTGGCCCACTTTCTAGTATATGAAAGTATACTTTTAAGTATACTTTAAGTATAACAGTAGTAAACTTTGAGTACACAACTAGTTTACATCTATGTTTTTAGTTTGTACTGCAACTATACTAAAAGTGAACTTATAGGTACACTGATAGTTTACTAATTAAATAATTGTAGCATTTTTAGTAAACTTTGAAGTATAGTCTTAGTAAACTACTAGTTTAGTAGTTTTATACTGCAAGTATACTCGTAAGTTTTCCTTAAGTGAGCTTTACATCATACTTTAAGTATACTTCTACGTCCCTATTTAGGTATTAATTTGTATATATTTTGTTTTATGAATATCTGAACCTACAAAACATCAAAAGAACAGGGTATCTGCTTGTAAACAAAAACATTTTATTCTAGCTTCATGCATTCTTTTTTTAAACACTTGAATGTGGGTAAGTTTTACAAAAAAAATATATATATAGAAATAAAGAAGATTTTGAACAAAAAGCTGAAAAAATACTATTAATTGGATTTAGAATGATAATCAAAACGTAGATGGAGTCGATCAACACCCCAAAGCTTGACAGTCATTATTACCTCTTCATTGGTCGACATTTTATTCCATAACGTTACACAGTTTTGACGCTGTTTTATGTCTGATGATCGTGTTAGATTACATGTGGAAGCATCTGTTGTTTCGTTTTTTTCTTCTCTTGTGTTTTTGGAAATTCTGCACAGAAGATGTGTACTAGCACGCCCTACAGTATAACAATGAAAACATTCTCGGAGCACAAGTATAGCTCAAATATATTTAGACTTTTTCTAAGTATAAGTCAAGTATACTTAAATGTCATTTTAAGTATATTTCTGAGAAGTACATAAGTAAACTGAAAGTATACTTTTCTATTTTTTAGTTTAAAAGACGTATACTAATAGCACACTTGAATAAACTTCTTCAAGTTTAAGTCAAAACAAATGAAATCTTATCTTTTAAATATTTAGGCTACTTAAGTTAACAGTATATATCTTCTAGCTACTGTATGTAAGAATATTAGAGAAACATATTCATTTTAATTTCTATTTATTTTTATCGATTATTCACAATAAATATCGTTCAGTATCTTATTTGTGTTTGTTAATTTGCCTATACAGGCTCAAAGAAGAAGTCTGTCCTGATTTCTAAGTATCTTTCTAAGTTGAATTTTTAAGTGCACTGCAAATGTAAAATTGAACATTTAACACCCACAAAGTTGAAATGCACATTTCCCCAGTGTTTATACTGTATGAGAATCACCATTAACAGGGATTTGTGGAAACTGTGGTTCCTAATTATTTATGTAATATAATGTATTTTACAGTATTAAACACGTTTTTATACCGATTTCATCAGGCTCTGAAAATTCTTCAAAAAGAACAGAAAGAATGGCCTTCTCAGCTGCCATAGCTGCAACTCTTGCGTCATCAGAACAGTGTTCAACGCACCACCGTTTCCGTTTAAAAAACGTTTTGCACCATTTTGTCGGGCCTGAACGCAGCCCTGTATTGTAACAGCGACTATCCACCTTTTTCTTCAACGCGGAAGTAAGCCTATGGGTGAGACTTCCGGTTCATTAGCCGCTATCGGTAAATAACCAGAAGAATAACAACGTGCATTAGGCTAAACGGTAAAAATGTTTGCACTACAAACCAGTGTGTTCATAATTAAGACAATACATTAAAATAATATGATAAGACACACCAATTTTCAATATCAAGCAGCAAAACGAACTGTTTTGTACAGCTAAAAATAGCTGGAAGCAGATGAGACCGGAAGCCAGACCCACAGAATTTACAAATGGCCGCGCCCATTTACGACAAGAAAAAGGTGGATAAGGACACTAAACTGTTGAGATGAGAGCTGCAAAATTAACACTGAATCAAGTTTAAAATATAAAGGATAGTATGTTCAATTTTACATTAACACTCAAATAGTGTTTAAATAGAAGGTATTTCATAACAGTTGAACTTTTCCACTCACCGATCCCATCCTCTCCCTAAACCATTTCATAATAGGCTACGAAAGAAATGCAAGAAACACTTTCATTGTTTCTTCTACATTTTACCAAACAAAGGGAAGTCAAGATAAGGCACCCATTACTAGCTCTTAAAATATTTTTTGGCCAGAATGACTGGAAATGAAGCCAAGGATTTTGCAAGTATGAGGGAGGAAAGGAGTCACTGGGACAATGTGAATATTAGGTGACAGGGACCGAGTTCAGGTCACATTTTTTTAAGTGAATGAAGAGCATTCCCATTTTTTATCCACTGAATAATAGGCTATGCGAGTTCTGCAAATAAATGCAGAGAGACCCTCTGCGTCACAAACAATGTTTTCTTTCATGAAGGGGAGGGTGTCTAGGAATTTTGGCCAAATCCCGAATAGAAAAATACAGTAGAGGTCAATAGCTACTGTCAACTGTTTGGATACCAACACTTTTCAAAGGATCTTCTTTTGCGTTTAAAAAAAAAGAAAGAAACTCATGCAGGTTTGGAACAACATATAGGGTGAGTAAATGAGGACAGGATTTTCATTTTTGGGTGAACTATCCCTTTAACTATACACCGATTAGATCTGTGGTAAAGCATTAATCACAACACAACACAATGCTCCACTTTAGACATCCTATAAGTAACTTTGCAACTACATGTCAACTAGCAGCCATTAGCGTATTAGTAGACTTATTATCTGCTGTCATATATTTTGATGGTAACACTCAGTTTGACTAGTTCTGCTAACAACCCTAACCTAACGAGTTAGTTGACATCACTTACAGTTAATAGAAAGTCTAAAGCGGACTTTGGAATAAACTGTAACCCAGTAATTCTTTGCTGAACATTTAAAAATACTGAACATCTCAGATGTAGAATATTAATGAAACATTCTACACACCACAGATTTACCCCTGCTTTTAATTAAACTTGGCATGAAAGACGATACCAGACGATGTTCTTGTACTCTCATTAAAATTCACCGTGTGTTTCTTCTCTCTTTAAACAACAAGTTAATAATTCACTTCAATCAGCTAGTGAAGATAAGAGCTCCAGCAGAGACTTTCAATAGCAGCTCTGTTTCTACTCGTCTGGACATTGAGATTGACT